ATCCCTGAGGACTTTGAGACATTCAGAACCCAGCAAATCCAGCTTTTTTAAAGCCAAACTCAACATCATCACCCAAGTTCTTTTTTTTTTTTTTTTTGCATTTTTTTTTTTTTGCAAGATTAATGAATTTGAGTTGTATATTTCTGTGTGTCAGACTCCACTTTTTATACTTTGCGAACCTTAGTAAACAAGCTTTCCTCATAACCCCCTAATGACAGACATAAATTGACAACACTGCATTAGCACTGAGGTCACAAACGCCAGAATTCAAATATATATATATATATGTATTTTAAAAACACGTACAGAAATACAGGTTACAAAATATAAATGATATAACAAGAAGGCTCTGATATATGCAGCTGAGACATCATGCACATCCATATTTAGCTTCTTTTTTTTCTGAGAAAGGAAAAGGACCAGCAAAACGACAAAGACGAAAATCAGTTCCTTCTACAATCAGTTACCACAAATAGGAGACAAAGATGACCACACCAGCACAGCGACTATAGAACTGGGCGTCTGGATATATCCAACCCAATAAAAGCTCTAGACAACCACAAACTATATGCCATAATATACCGTTAACTCCAATAAAGAGCGAGCACTGTTTATGCTTACAAAATGAGAGATCACAAAGATTTGATGCGCATTCTGTAACCTAACACTCTCGTGAGCGGTTTGTTGTCTTTTAACACTTATTAAACCTGCCTTAAGTGAGATGACGGTTGACGAAATAAAAAAATAGATCATCTCTACAGAAAGAAATCGATGTAGATGGCACTTAGTTTATGCTAATGCTATGATTTAAGGGGAAGGGTTGTTATACTGCTCAGCTCTATCCTATGGGTGACTATCATTATGTTTATCAAGAAATACATCCCAGCTAGTCAGCTACGTCCTTACTAGTCTTAAAGGTACGGACATGGTAATCATGATAACTAACTGCTCAGCAGTTCTATAAGGCTTAAAGGGGAATTTACTCTAAAGGGGGTTTGCTCTCACACAAATAATCAGGACACAAATGAACGATTCCAACACACACGTAAGTGCTGTTAGCTAAAACCGCTCCAGTTTGGCTGCATGCTGCATGTGCATCAACAACAGATTATTTGACCAATAAACACATGCAGTCTGTCCACATCTCCTAATGTTTCACATGTTAAAACAACAAACAGACTGAGCCCTTTTTTCGGTTTGCATTGGGAAGTCACATAGACGCTTCCAGATTTGTTTTCCCTCTGAATTATCAGTGCAATACAGAAAACAGTTCACAAAGAACACCTTCACGATAAACTGGGGGGCAAATGCATGTACAGGGTTGAACAGTCTGCATTCTCATAAGGTAAAACAGTCCAAGTTTCGTGAGCAAAGCCGCAGCTGAAGTTTCCAGGAGCAGCAGCCAGAAGATTTAGAAGAAATGCACATACATCAGTATGAAAGCTGCCGTATCTTCGAGATTTCTGACAGGATTTCAAACAGAATCTCCAGATGCAAGGGCCGCGCGAATCGACAGGGCAAGGGAATGACCCAACTGAAGATATCAAACATGCTACAATCGTGATGAGCAGGAAAATGCTACCGTGACCGAAAACAAAAAACAGCAACATAACAGATCAGGAAAAAAACAATAGTGCTTTGGTCAAGCAGGTCATTTGGTGTAATACACTAATGCACTAAATGTAAAGATTATAACACAGAGCCCCACAAATACATTCTGTTTCTAAACATGATCATAGACGTGGTAAAATGACACCACTAGCATGCACTGTGTCTCGGGGGTCTATATTGTTTTATGTGCAGTGAATCTTTTTACTGGAATCAGCCAAGCTATTGAAGACCTCATACCAAAAAGCTAACGAAGACCTCGTTCTAAAGGTTTTTTCTCATTTTGACATGCAGTCGTCATATTCCAGTGATAAGCTTTATGTACACTATTTTCAGGAGAGAAACACGCTCATGGAAAACATATGAAAACAACAGGAGAAATATTCTGAATGGCACAGTTTGAGGAATAAAAACTTAAGCGAGTATTGCGGTTTTTGTTACGTCTAATAAACTACAGTCCAGTGTATGCACCACTATAAAATCACTATTTCTCAGCCCTAAGAATACTATTCATATTCAACCAGAAATATTCCATATTGTTGGTTGATTAACGCTTTTAGTTTGCATAGGAATCACAAATTGGATTTGCACAGTTTTAAGAGTTATTATTTCCTTCAAGGACCCAGATGACCAAAATATATCTGGCTCAGGAAACATCTTGTTTAATTGCCAAAAACTTTACCTTGCTACTCATCCCCAGTATTATAAATATGTTGTTTATTAGATACAGTGGGGTCCAAAAGTCTGAAAATGACAATGCTTTACTTTAAATAAAAATCTAAACTGTTATTTATGGAAGCTTGTTTTCGACATGGGAAAAAAAAAAAAAAAGTAATTGTGACTTTATATCTCACAATTCTGACTTTTATTCTCTGAATTCTAAGTTTATATCTTGAAATTTAGTTTTTTTACCGCAACTAAAAAAATAAAGGTAATTGCATCTTTTTATCTCATAGTTTTGACTCTCACAACAGTTTATATCTCCCAACTGTAAGTTAAAGGGATAGTTCACCCAAAAATTAAAATTTGATGTTTATCTGCTTACCCCTAAGGCATCCAAGATGTAGGTGACTTTTGGCGCTTTTCCACTGCGTGGTACGACTCGGCTCGGCACGGCTCAGTACGGTACGACACGGCACTGCAGGGCTCGGTTTGCGTTTCCACTGCGGTTCAGTACCGCTTTAGAATGGGCGGGATTATTCACATGTCGTTATAGTTGCGCTGCCTCTATTGCCGCGACTCCTGAAAAAACTTTTAGGTGGCGGTAATGCACTTATAAGTCTGCGATCCACCGTAAAGCAAGCAAGAAGAAGAAGACGCCTCATGCTCTTGTTTAGATGCAATAAATACCATGAATACAGGCAGAAATGGCAGGAAATGGAAGAAGAAAATAAAATGTAAGATATTCGAGAACAAGGGATGGAAAGAAATAGACTTTCTAGACTAGGATTAATAAGAAGAATTTAGAAACAAAAAGATAACCCTTTGTGGGGTTTTCTTGGTTTGTTTTATATATATATATTTTTTGCCCTGGGGGTAAGCAGATAAACATCAAATTTTCTTTTTTGGGTGAACTATCCATTTAACATCTTGCTGCAACTGTTTTTTTTTTAAAAATACAAATAAAAAAGTCATAAATAAAAAGTCAGAATTGCACAAAAAAGTCTGAATTTTGTGAAAAACAAAAAACAAACAAACTCAATTTCTTATCGTCCCCTTTGTTTCAATGACAGTATGGACACAATCAACATGTTACATTATAATTGTCTTCATTTTTGATCATTTTCATTCCATAATGTGGTGTTTTTTGGACCCCACTGCATATAGAGCTTATAACTGCGTCACTAAATTGTAAATGAGTGATTCCTTACTTCCTTCCTATAGCACTCAGTGAAAAACTTGATCACTTGATCAAGGTGCGACAGGGCATGAACATACGCATGGGAATGACAAACACAAACTCCCATAAACAGCACAGAATAAGGAGCATTACTCTCCCCAAGCCAGATGACTGACATCAGCTTCACAACAGAACCTTGAGTTATGTTTGGCAGTACAAGTACAAACTATACAGCATTCAATACTAAACAAAATGGCATTGTTAAAGGGGTCATATGATGTTGCTAAAAAGAACATTATGTTGTGTTGTCATGAGAAATCGAGTCCCACCTCGAAATCGGGTCCGCTTAGGACCAAGGCGTTAGCTGTTTTAAATGCCTGATCAAAAGTCAACACTTATGTTACTATAATTAATGGTCATTATAACGAAGTTCAAACGACATAAAGCAAAGCGCGATTTTGCAGGAATTGTAATCAGGCGCTAAAAATAATACCCATCTTGAATACCGCTCCGGAGCGCTATTGGAGGCTTAGTGTATCCCATAATGCATCATGTTCTGGAAATAAATCGCGAGACTTTTTGCCAAGATTGCGAGAGGTCACGGAAACCTTTCCAATGTAAGTTAAATATTAATAATAATTAGATATTACATATAATTTGGTAGTAAAACAAAGTGCTACACGTTTTATTGGTGCAAAGGTGAGTAACCTATATTTATTTTGTACATCATTTGCAACTGCTTTTTATCACTTAATTAGAAGCACGAGAAATTAAATTGTGTCATCTGTTATAGGGACTACTGAACATTAAAATTAATAGTATTGAAAATAAAAATTTTAACTCTGTAAACACTTGCGTTTTTACAACACTGTAAGTATGTCCCAACAGGTAATGAAAAGTTGTACACACACTTGTGGTCATTGAAATCGCATCATATGACCCCTTTAAAACAAGAGTATCGCGAGGAAAACACTTAGGAGACGATTAGAAAAACATGTTAACAGTTAAAAACAGCATTTTGTTCATATAAGGCAAAATCAGGTCCTCTCACAGTGAAGTGTTCAGCAGGTTTCTGCAGCAGCTCTAGGGTCACATATTCACTGACCGCCGTTGAAGCGTACATTACAGCCATAACAAATCTTCAATTTGAATAAATAACATAAGCAAAACATATGGAAAGTCACATGACAGTCCACAAGAACACCAAAATATGGGTTATATACCTATCTCGAGACTGCTGTCCTTCTGCAAGAAAAATCACAGGCAAATATTAAAAAACCAAGAATGATACCAAAACACCAATCATGACATCTTGAGATGTCTGGATGATACAAAATGCTAGCAAAACGAAATATCATGGAAGCCATTTTGTAAACGCAAACTTTAGGCCTTCCAGTGTACAGTGAGCAACGCTCGCTTAAACCCTTGATACACAATCTGGGGGAGTAGTGCTCCTTACATAAATATGATTAAATAATATATATTTATATATATATATATATAATTTAAAAAATAATTATAATAAATACATTCTAAATAAATATGTCAATTACACACACATAATTACACAAATGGATATTTCTTCAAAGACATATGGCATAATTATGTAAACATTTAAAACATAGATAAAACTTGAAATGACAACAAAACATGAATACATGAAGAGAGTGGATGGTGGATGGTATTGCGCATTGGAAACGATCCAGTGTGGATACAGCACTTCCACCTCCACCAGCCCCTGGTCATGAGTGGTTTGGCAGCCTGCTGTGACGTGGGTGGTTGGGGGGATGTGGACGCCACTGACCAGATGGTGAACAGAGAGGTCATGCAGCGGAATGTCTCGCTTCGAATTGCATTCACAGGCTCATAGTCGATCAATGCGGAACGTGTCCTCAGTGGCCGGGTCGGCGAGAACCATGTCCGGGTCGTTGAGCATGTGCAGTCCGTCCAGTGTCAAGGGGTCGATCTTCAGCTCGTCCAATGGGAACTGAGAGTCTGCGTCAAAGCTGACGTCACCAACGCTGGCCAACGAGCTGGTGAGGTCTTTAGAGAGATGGGGCGGAGATTCCCCCATCACTAATGTGAGACAAATCAAATTGTCAGCTGAAATGGCTAGTCTACTTTTAAATCCACACCTGCCGTGGTGTTTCAATCTTAAATGTCGTCTCTGATAAGACAGATAGCACAAATGTACATCACCACTGATGTAAGCACTCTGTTCCCCTCATAACTTATACTGCATAAGACCCTATGTAGCTCCGCCCCTATTCAGCGCCGCGCTCATTGTCTTGTCTTCTGGATTGTATTTCCACAGTGTGAAGGTAAGGTCGTACGATCTTTTTTTTTTTTTTTTAATCTTCCCAATCTACTGAAATTTGTTATGACATCCGCTTTGAACATTACCACACGAACCGTTATGCACCACACGGATGCGCTGTTTTCGTTCAGATCAAAGCGTTTTTTGTGCTACTAAGAGATTCACATAAATATGCACAATAAATGAATATCAGTACCAGCAACTGACAATATAACCCCAAAAAAGTTTTATCAGTAATAAAAATGCTAAATATACAAGGCAAGTAATTGCTCAACAGGAGAATTTTATTATATTATATATACAAGTTTTCAAGTTTTCCAAGTTTTTCATTGATTGGGCAGTCTTCATAGAAGCTTAATTCAGGGTTTAATAGTAACTTTGAATTTTAATGAATGTTAAAAACTACAATTAATTTGAGCTAAATGTAAGCAAACTGTCATCTGGTAGCTAGTGAAGTGTTCCTCACGTTATCTAAGTGCATTAGAATATAGTGCTGGAAATATTCAGTGTTTGCAACTATTGGTTGCCCCATGACACGTGTTACTTCCGCAAAAGTTGATTTTACTGAACAAACCAGACAATTAAGATAAATCCTTCAGTTTTCTTCTGTTAGAATAATTAATAAGAATGCTTCTTGTATGGGGGCACTAAAGGACCTGGATAATGGATAGACTCTAAAAAGGTTGAGATCCACAGGTACAGATAAGGACCATCAATGCATTTTTAACGTACCACTGTGACATCTCATTGGAAAGACATTTGCATAAAGAAGTTGATGTTGAAGCAAAAGACACAATACCTGTGAGAATGATGTTGGGGATGTTGCCATGGCTACTGTAACCGAGCTGCTGCGTGTCCTGCTGACTGCTGTGGCTCCCGGTTAAACCCATCATGGCTGCCTGTGTGTAGTTCAGCGTTGAACAGTGACTAGAGCCGCCTGGATTCTCCATTATATTCATGTTGAACTGCTCCAGCTACACAATCAGCATTAGAAAGTTCTCATTTCAACAATAAACGAAATACAAATTTTAACACCGCATTTTATACATACATCTATATATATAAATATACACAGCATATTATATATGTCCAGCTGTGTTATGTGGTGGGTGTACTAGGTACTAGGGTTGTGCAATATTAACAAAAAATAATATCTCAATATTTTCTGTGATTTTATCGATAACGATAATTAGACGATATTTTGCTGAGTGTTTTATTGTGCTGGTATCTTAAGGACTGCCGTGGACAGCTGACTTGATATTCTTCATATTCTGTGCAGTGGTCAGTTCACACTTATAGAAATCAATATTTTCCAATAAGTTTTAACTGATTTTTACATTTTATGGGCATTTTGACCTATAAAAAAAAGCCTTTTTTTTCTAAAAGTGTCCATTATCTTTTGATGCTCCAGTGACAGGCAGTCCATCGTGATTGGCTATGACGACAACAGACATAATACAGGGTCACAAACTCAAACATTTATTACTAATTTATTGTCAATGATCCTGGGTTATTATAGTTAGCTAAAACTGAAACTAAAAATATGAAAAACCCATCTTCGTTACTTGAAATAAAATAAACATTAACTGAAATAAAATTAAAAAAATATATATATTTAAAAAAAAAAAAAAACGTTTTATTTCAGCTAGTTGCCAAGGCAACATTTCTCAATTTCAAAAGTGAAATAAAAATAACTGAAAACTATATAGACATATATAAAAAAAACTACAAAAATGACAAAAACACAACAACATTACTAAAACTTTAAAATGAAAACAGAAAATGTAGAAAAAAATTTCTAAACATAAATAAAACTATAATAGTATCTCAATGATACTAAAATAACACTGCAATGATCACAGTGTTCACATGTAAGTTTACTCAATAGATAATCAATAATCAATTAATGAAAATGCAATTATTAAGCCGATTTATCAGAATGATTATTCAGAATGCCAAAACCAGTTTGGTTTTCTTATGACAAAACAAAACAAAACAAAACAAAACTCTTCCATCTAATGCTGCAAACTATACAGGGAACCCTCTCATTTGGTACATTACTATAATATTAGCGATTACAATTAACAACAGAGCCCAAACTATTATATTCAACTGCTATATACTTCAGATATAATAATCACACCCAAAAAACCTTGAAATGTTTGTATACAACTCAATTGACCCTTTGCAAGACACGCCCCCTTAGTTACTGTTGCTACGTCCGACAAGCCATGGCATTCTCATGCCACAAATCATGTTCTCACGCTGTGAAAAATACATCGCGGAGCAAAGAGGACACTGACAACACGCCGACAGACAAGACAGAGCAGGTTACTTTTGGTATGAAAGTCTCAGCTTTCAAATTTGGTAATTTTTAAAGAAATGTAAACAATAAATACCGTTTTGTGGCTCTTAAATGTGTTGTGACAGATCGCTGTAGCGTCTCAGTTCAAGCGACAAGTGAACAGATCATCTCTTCCTCTTTACTAGTTATTGCACGAAATAAACATGAATGAACATCAGAAGATATCTTGTTTCAACCGCGGAAAGATGTCAGTACACAGTACACACCATTTTCAAGTCCACCAACATTAAAGGGGTCATATGATGTTGCTAAAAAGAACATTATTTTGTGTATTTGGTGTAATGAAATTTGTTTCTGCGGTTTAAGGTTCAAAAAACACATTATTTTCCACATACTGTATATTATTGTTTCTCCTCTATGCCCCGCCTTTTTGAAACGCATCGATTTTTACAAAGCTCATCGGTCAATATCCACACTGGTGCGGTGACTGACTGCCACACATACTCTTCAGAACATTAGATTCATCCGCGCTGGAGCCCTGCCGGAGCACAACCTACGCAAGGAAGATAATTCCGCACACAGCTGCAATTCCAGGTTTTCAAACAGAGATGGCGACAAAAAGGCAAAACTTACGGACTGCAGCTTTAACTATTTTTTAAAATAACCACAATATTAATAGCAACACTGAATTACGAGCGCTTGGTTTATCTGTCCATCAGATGTGCGTTAAAGTTGCATGTGTTAGTATAACAAACACCACTATATAACATTTTCTTTCAGAATCATCATTGGCTGGTCAAAGAAAAATAGATAGTTTTTACTTACAAATGAAGATAAGGTAAAGGTGCAAATAATATCGGGGGAATAAAAAATATATTAACGAGCAAGAGAGCTGATTTTTTCCCAGAATATCTGCACGACTGCAAATGTGATATAGATTTAAAAAAAAAAAAAAAAGTTTAATATTGTGCTATATTTTAGACACAATATGGTCAATATTGTCTGTTTTTGTGCAAGTTCACCAATGAAGATAAAGCAGAACTTTTGTGCTTCTCTGATCAACACAGCTGTGTTTATTTACTGAATGAATCCACAGGTGCAGTCTGACATGTTTTCCCGCCCCCTTTTGATTGACAGGATATTATCAGCCCTGATCATTGGCTGTTTTTAAACAACGGCTGATAGTGCAGATAATTGCTTTTTTCGGCGATAGGCTATGATTATTGGCTGATACATCAGTGCAACACTAATTAGAATCAGACTTTCATGGGGCCCCACTGCTAGAAATGAAATGATGACCCTTTAATCACACATATTATGAATTCAAACACAGGCCGTGCTGTTTAGGGAGGCTGGAGGCTGGCTTACCTGTGCGATGGGTATCTGGGGTGAGATGGCAGGTGGTAGTGTGGGGGCAGGCGGCTGTGGGCTGATATGGGGTGAGGGGGCAGGGCCAGTGTGCTGGGCCGGAGGGGAGGGAGGGACATGACTGGCAGCACTGATGCCCAAGTGTGTCAGGTTGGTGGTCAGGTTGCTGGTACTGCTGGAGCTGGATGTAGGGAAGGTAATGGGGTCATCTGGATCCAGTGGGGTGGGGAGAGGAGGAGGGAACTGGATGTTTGTCAGATCAGGTAAGGAGCCGCCGGTGCTGTGAGCAGCTGGCATCAAAGAGCTATTCATTTCTTGATCAGGAGATGGAAATATGCTGGAAAAATCAAACATAATATGCAGTGAGATGTGCTATACGATGCAACACTTATATGTGCAGAGACACATATAAATGATTAAATCTCACAAAGAAATATAAATGTATATATTTTGATGAAAAGAAAATGCTATGCATTTTAAATGTATCATTCAGAGGTTAAAGTTAGCTTAATATTACGTAGTTGTCTTGAAATTAAAATTTATTACAATAAAACACAATCCGTCCCACCCAAAGTATCATTAAATTGAAATACAATAATTACTTTAATTTGTTTTATAAAAACACAAAAAAATGTTAAGATACAATATATTTATTTTAATTTAAATCAGAATGTGAAGAATTTCAATTAAAAAAAATATATGCAAATAAGCTTTAAGGCAGTATAAAATCTATACACTTTGCAAAACAAACAATTATTTAGCATTTTATTTTATATTTAGGTAATAAGAATTTGGAGGGAAAATACACTAAATTGTCATAAAATTAATCTCACAATGCAAAAACAACAACAACAAAAACTGGCTTCATTCTCTTGAAGCAAAACATAATTTCTATGTTCTATTTCTATATTCTGTCTTAAACATTTTGGTAACACTTACCAATAAGGTCCCATTAGTTAACGTTTGTTAATGCATTAACTAACAATGAGCAATGCATTTATTACACTATTATATAACTATTCATTGTTAGTTAATTTTAGCTCAGGTCTATTAAATAATAAGATACAACTTTTGATTTGAATAATTTTTTAGTAAATGTTGAAATTACTAAAATTACTAAGATTAATGAATGCTTAAAGTATTTTTTGACTGTTAATTAAAGTGAACTAATGTATTTAACTAATATTAACAAATGTAAAGTGTTTTTTCCTCTTTGTGAAACTGCATCAAAACTTGCTTAATTTGAGGAATAATCTAAAATTATATGTATATATATATA